GGCCCCCTCCCTGCAGCACAGCGCCCCCTCCGGCCCCCTCCCTGCAGCACAGCGCCCCCTCGTGCCTGTACCTGTGGGTTTCTGAATCTCTAAGGACTTTCCCTTGTACGTATCAAACAGGTTGAGCGACGAATACTTTTTTCCATCCTTCCCCTTTGCTGTTTGCCCCAAACGATCTGACATCGCGCTGGAAGGTCATTGAGTACGTTGGTTCCTCCTGGCGCCTCGCGAAACGTGCCTCTGTCTGCAGGGAGGACAGTGGTGAGAACCCAGGTGTCCTGGCTCCCGGGCCCACCCCCTCTAACCCCACCCCCCGGCTAGAGCCCGGGACAGGACCTGAGAATCCTGCCATTTTTCTGCCCTTCCTAGTTTCCTTGTCGCCTTTACAAATTTGCCTTTGCGCTGAAAGTGGGTGTTTCAAGGGGAATCGGTTTGAAGCTCTGTGTTTATGTTAGGTCCCACACAAACCACCTCACCCACTTCCTCCGAGAGACCATTTTAAAAAAAGAAAACGACGGAGACAGCATCAGACAAAGTGACCCCTGTTATTTTTATGAGAGTGGTTGAGTCCCGTATGGTTTTTATTTTAAGTCCAGGAACATGAGGGTTTGTTATAACAATAGATCAGCCAATCCAGCATCCCTGGGAAAGGTTTTGCTGCAATTTTGCTTTGGATTTCAAACTTTCCCCTTGCAACATAAACAACAGGCGGGTGAAGGAGATCTGGCTCTGAATGCAGTCCATACTTCCTCCAGGCCACGCAACAGGGAACCAGGCATGAGGGGTATTTCTGTAGTTCCAAACAAACAAGGGAATATGAAACTGACGGGGGTAATGTGGCCCTGAGGCAGTTGGTGTTTTCCTTCCGGGTCAGACCCAGGGCAGGGAAGGGAAGCGTTTCTAACCCCTGGGGTTAGTTTCACTCCATCCTCAGTGCCTGCGCCTGCCCCTTTAAGGACACGTCCTTGACTCACCCTCTGAGCCTGAGCTCAGCACAGCTGAGATGCCTGGGATGATCGCAGGGTCTCCCTGACAGCTGGGGTCCAGCTCAGCGCTGGGGTCGCATGAGGACATGGGATGGGGCTGTCTTGGATTTCAGGAGGGGCAGCTCACCCCAAGTGCCTGGCGATGGGGAAATCCAGCCTAAAGCTGCCTAGAGTCAGCCATATGAAATCTCAGCCCCCCAACTCTAACCCACCAGCCCCTACTCTCCTCCCAGAGCTGGGGAGAGAACCCAGGAGTCCTGGCTCCCAGCCCCCCCTGCTCTAACCCACCAGCCCCCACTCCCCTCCCAGAGCCGGGGAGAGAACCCAGGAGTCCTGGCTCCCAGCCCCTGCTGTAAAGCAGGACCGGTGTCTCGCCAAGGGATCTGCAGCACTTTCCAACCGAAAGCTAAATCTGTGCGCTCGCTCTCTGAAATCACCGCGCCCGATTTCCCCATACTTCCTGGCTGAGCCAACACCCCGAGCCCGGAAGACACAGCCGGGCAGAGAGGCTGCAGCTGGGAGGAATTCTCCAGAGCCCAGCCAGGCTGCAAGCGCTCCCTTGGGAGGGCCTGGGAAATGGGGAATAAAACTGGCCGCTTTTAGCAGCCATGGGGGGAAAGGGAGGGGTGGTGGGAAAAGAACCAGGGATGTCTCTCCCCTCCACCCCCAGCGCAGACCGATTTAGGGGGAGGTTTGGGGAGGACAGAATCCATGGTGCAGAGAGATGGGATTTGGAAATCACAGGCCATGGGGCGGCTACTGTCAGGGAAAGAATAACGGAACAGCCGTCAGAATTACACACCCTGTCGTTTGGGATTTCCAGCCTGCCAGGGGAACAGGTGAGATTCCCTCGCCTGGGTGACACAGCAAAACTCAGAGCAGATGATCTAATGGTCCCTTAAAACCCATGACTCCACTGCCCCAAACCGACAGGTGATAATGTTACAGCCACACCCCAAGGAGGTCGTCCTGATATTGATGGCTGGGCTTATTTTCACAGATTAAGGCCAGAAAGGATAACTCTCAGCCTGGGGCTACGTCTTCACTACCCGCCTGAATCGGCGGGTAGAAATCCCTCTCTTGGGGATCGAATTATCGCGTCTCATCGGGATGCGACAATCGATCCCCGAATCGACGCTTGTACTCCACCGCGCAGGTAGGAGTAAGCGCCGTCGACGGGGGAGCCGTGGAGATCGATTTGCCGCCGTCCTCACAGCGTAAGTCGGCTCGGATATGTCGAATTCAGCTACGTTATTCGCATAGCTGAATTTGCGTATCTTAAATCGACCCCCCCACCCCCATGAAGACGTAGCCTCAGTCTCACCCCCTGTACAACAGACCACTGCTCTGCCTTGAATTAATTCCTGGCTGGATTTTCAGAAGGTGGGGAAGGAAGCAGGAGGACAGGAACCTGTGACAGAGAAAATAAAAGCAGAAATACAATCCACCCCAAGAACAACCCCTAAAATAGCCTAAGAATAAAGGGGGGGGGAAATCAATCCTTACAAAGAACAATTATCCAATCTGGACGGAGTAAGTAACAAATAATATCACTGGCAAAAAACCATCCTGCTAATGGAGAGGTGTAGCCAAAGCATCCAGAATTATCGCTAACAAAACTACTATTAACAAAGGAAGGGCACAAACAAATCCACATGAAAACTAGGCAATCCTCTTACAATCTACCCAGAATAATCAACCGCTGTTAAACGAGGAGGGATGGAAGGAATCAAGAAAAAACAACTGGTCAAGAACAGGAGAGGGGAAAAAAAGCCAGAATCTTAATACATACAAAGATTGTAAATAACCCACGCAGCGCAAAGACATCGGTACGAGCCTCTGTGTTCCTAATGGCTACCAATATTAATTCATTTCTCCAGTGGGTTATGGACGCTGCTCTGTAGTCGTAAATACCATCCTGCATTTTCTTTCCAGAAAGGCAGTCGTGTGGCCTAGCAGATAACGTGCTGGACAGGGACTCAGGACACCTGCCTTGAACTAGCTCCGTGCTGGCCTCTTGGGTGACCTTAGGGGAAGTCACTTCCCCGTGACTCAGTTTTCCCATCTGTAAACTCAGGAGAAGGATATTGACCCTTCTTAGTAAAGCACTTTGAGAGCTATCCATGGAAAGTGCTAGGTAAAAGCTAAGGGGCATTATCACGGGGTGGGGCCCAAATCTTAACAACAGCTTTTTTTGTCTCAAGAGCAGTACACCTCTACCCCGACATAACGCGACCCAATATAACCCGAATTCGGATATAATGCGGTAAAGCTGCGCTCCGGGGGGGCAGGGCTGCGCACTCCGGCGGATCAAAGCAAGTTTGATATAATGCGGTTTCACCTATAATGCGGTAAGATTTTTTGGCTCCCGAGGACAGAGATATATCGGGGTAGAGGTGTACCTGTATTTGCCAACACTTTAATTCTTATTGTGTATGTGGATTGTTCACACCTCTCTATTTGTTAGCAAGACATCCAGAGCCACGAAGATTGTTAAGATTTAAAGGGGAAACATTCTAGTCATGGAGTAAACACTTTACGAAAACACTTAACAATACTATGCATGCCTCTTATCGGTCGGCAGTACCTTGTTAACAATGTCACACCAAATATGGCTAAGAAATACAAGATATTGTTAAGAAATATTGCTAAGAAAGAAAGAGAATACAGGATATTCTTAGGAACAAAGGTTAATATGCACCCAGAATAAATATCCTGTTAAATATTGTTGAACAGAACGTTAGCAATATACACACACAATATACACTGTTAACAAACGAAGAGGGGGTACAACTACCACAGAACGACAGAAACGTAGGCCTGGAAGAGAGAATCTAGCCCATCCAGGCAGGATTAAGTGTACCTGGTACATAACTCCACAGTGAAATACAAATATTGTTAGATAAACAGGACGATCACATCATAAAGTGAGGAGTAGACAAGACAATATTAATAACTGGTCCAATTCACAGCTGTGTCCACTAGATCCCGAAAAATACAAAACATTAACATGATTTAGATATAATTAAAGGGTGAATGATACAGCGCGGGATTAACACGTATTGTATGAATGCCCATCTTTGAAATCCTGTGTTAAGATTGTAACACCATGACAATTATCTCCCACAAATGGCTGCAAGTTACTTAGAGATCAAGGGGCAAAACACCTTTTTTGCGGGGGGATGGGGGAGAACCTTTATTTTACAGATATTTGATTGGCAGATGGAAGGAAGCTGTCGGAGAAGGAAGCAGAGAGGTTGCAGAGAGCACCAATCCCGCTACATCTGAAGTATCCAGGAACAGGGCAGCATCCACTCGAACTCGCTGGGAAAGTGACAATTGATCCTGTATTTTATCTTGTTTTGGGACCAGGCAAACCCTCGCTATTCAGGTGTCCGGTTCTTTGCACAAATGTTGATCATTCAAATGACGGATTTTCCAGTCACACGTAACATCGGCTGCCCCTCGAACTGTGAATGGAGCTTTAGAATAAGTGTAATTTTGGGGCCTCTCTAAGAGAGATGATGCGTGCTAATATTCGTGGATTATTTATCTAGTAATTAAAGGGCAGGTTTAACGATCTCTCCTGGCCTTACTTACAGGTAAATCAGAATTCTTCCTCCGGTCTCTTTGCAGCAATGGTATACATTTAGTTCCCTACCACGAAACGTAGAAATTTGGCTACATTACGGATGCTCCATCTTGAGCACCGAAGGGAGACGAAAATAAAGATTCCCCTAGGAATAATTTTAGCATCACCCCCACAAAAAGCGGATCCATTCACAACTCAGCAAAACGTACTGGTGTCGTCGGGTAACAATAAGTGTACAGAGAGCCGGTTATTCTGAATATCACTGCAGATGGAATTAATAAACCATTCGGATCTGGCATTCATCAGCATAACCAGGGTGGTCCCTGATGTCAATACACAAATACAGCTCGAGCGGGGGGTTAGTTCATTATAATGTCTGTTCATTTAGAATGGTTTATTAATTTAGCATTGTCTTTGGTAGAGTGCCACCGGCATACTCCTGGGGAGCCTCTTCAAACCTTTACGATGATTGAATTCATGAATGTTTTTGCATCATAAATTCCAGGGGGGTAAGAGACCCCCAGCCTTAATCTGAGAGTCACCATGATACACAGATACGGACTGACTATTCAATTCATCATTAGATGTCAAAGACACCTCACCGGACCATGCAAATCAGAAGACCCCACCCATAATTTTAGCGGCTTCCTTTCCCCCCATTCCTAATTTTCTTGTAACCCTAAGCATGCTGCCTAATTAACCTTGATTCTTCGGTTCTGTCCCAGCCCTCCAGATTTTCACGAGAAAGACAACACAAAATAGGGTGATAATTTGCCCCAACTGCGCACACCCACGTTTTAACGAAAATAAAATAGCGAGGGAGACCAACCCCACTTTCCCCCCTTCGCTCCCCCATCTTTTAAACGCCCACATAATGGTCAGGAATTTCAGTTCCATCTGTATTATTAGTCCTACAGTAGACAGCACGGTATGCATTCTTCATTATATTCTCTCCTTTTTATTTAAATTGCCAACTCCACAGCCCCAAAACGTAATGGCTTTCTAAAGCTAAATTCACACAGATCTCTATTTTACTTCTTTCCTAGTTTAAAATAAAAAAATCAAGACCAAATCCCCTCCACACCCCAAATTTCACTCTCAACGTAATTTTAAAAAAATAAATCCGATAATGACGGAATATAAATAATGTAGCTGCTGAAGCCTGAGTTGGCATTATAAAGGGGTGGGGTAGTATTTCGATTCCACCTCCCCAAATTCAATGATATTAGCCCTAAACGTTCTTTATGAGAAAAGGATAATTACGGGGTAAGAAAGAAGTAAAATAAGAATCCAGCCCCCAAACCCAACACAAACCCGCTGATTCCCACCCTAATCACAGACTGATAATGAATCTGTGATTGTTGCCTTCAACTGGTAGGTGTAGGGCGGTGCTGAAATATAGGGTAGAGTTCAAATTGACCACCCCAAAACGGCAGCACCCCCCTCCCCAAATAAACATCCATGTGGATTTTGGTTTTTTGTTTGTTTGTTATTGGGGCTTATTTCTGTGGGGGGTGATACCCAGACCTTCCTTCATCCCGTCACCACACCCCAAATGTGAATCACCCCAATATCATTTTAAAGGAGGGACTGACGGGTTTGTAGGGGTAAAGCTACACACCACCACCAAAATACACCCCCAAATCTCCACACCACCATGATTATCATTTAAATTGCCAATGGTTTCTTTTTTTAGGGTGGTATCAAACTACTGGCTAATTCACCCCCTATTCTACTATGAGCACCCCATATTTTCTCCTTCCATTGCAATGGAATATTTTTAGGATGGGGAAAATTAGGAAAAGCTCCCCCCTGCTTCATAATCACCTTCCCCTACCCAGATTTCAGCAACACCCCGATTTCCAGCAGCCTGAAAATGTGGGACTGGATCCCCCCCCCCCAGTAATTTAAAAATACGAGGGCGCTGCCAAGAAAGGAGGGGGTTCATTTAGATCCACCCCCCTGCTGTGTCTTAAACCAACACCCCAGAATGAGGAAAGTTGTCTATTACCCCAAAATTGGGGTTGGGTTGTATTTTTCTCTTTTTACAGCGGTTTAAGATTTTTCTCAGGTGTGGTTGAAAAGAAAAGGAGGTTTATACGAGATCAACAGGCATGCACCCCAAATTTCAGTACCCTCTCACTAGCGCAGATGGGGTTTTTCAGATGATTTCAGGGTGCCACTTTAAATAACAGGAGGGAAAGTGAGAAATTAAATGGCACCCCTGTTCTGCCACCAGCATGCACCCCACATTTCAATGACAGACCATTATTTCCATGAGAATTTCGTCTTACCCCCCGCAAAAGCGGGCTGGGTTTTTGGCAGTGACTTAAATACTTTAGGGTGCTCTAGAAAGAATGAAAAGGGATTTAATTAGCCCTGATTGACTCCCCCCAAATCACAATACCCCAATACATGAAACAACTCCACCCCAGAAATACAGATGAGGGTTCACTTAGACGCAGCCCTGCTCTGGCATCAACGTGCACCCCAAAATTCAGTCACCCCAATAGTAGCATCAAAAGCCCACCCAAAATGAGCGCTGAGGTGTTCCGTGGGGTTGATTTTTTTTTTAGGGAAACAGAGAAAGCACAATGAGATTCACCCCTTGCCCAGGCATCCTCACGGACCCCAGATTTCTGTGGTACCCCAAGACGGCTCCTACAAATGTGCTGGGACCCCACAAAGAGCGGGCAGGATTTTTCCAGTGGGTTGAATCGTGGGGGCAAAATTGACAGCCATGGGTAGGAAGGGGGCGACAGCAGCTTTCACCCTGTCTCTCCCCACCTGCCCAGCCCCCCCCCCCCGATACCCTCACCCCAAAAACCCCATTAACCCCCCCATTCCCCTTTAAACTTGTGGGGTAGCTTCAGTGGCTTTGAAATTCTGGGGCCAAAAGGGGGGTGCAAGGGGATCCAGCCCCCCCACTGCATACACCCCATGGTGACCCCTCATGGAGCCCACACCCCGGGGGGGGACAAGTTTTGGGGAATTGTGGGGGCACTACTCCCCCCTCAACAGTCACTTGAACCCTCCTCTCTGAGGCTCGGTATTGGGGGGGGTTAGTGACCCCAGACGCCCCCCAATGGGGCAAATGCCCCCTGGAGGTGGTAGTGGAAGCGATTTGGGAGGGGATGGGGGGGGTCCAGGGGGGAGGATGGGGGCCCCCGAGGGGCGGATGGATGTGGATGAAGATGGGGGGGGTAGGGAGAAGGAGAGGGCTGGGAACAAGATGGCGGAGGCCTGAACGTTCTACCGGCTCGAGCCGAGCCGTCTCCCCCCGCCCCCTTTCCAGGGGCTGAGAGCCGAGCCCAGCGGGTCGGAACCGGGTCGATACCCACCTCTTCGGATCGGGCTCGGTCCGCTCTATCCGGATACGGGCTTCCCGAGAGCGGATGGGGGCGCCAAGCGGAGGATGGATGCGGATTACGGCGGGTCCCCCCCCCCTTGTTTATTTTTTTTTTCCAGGGCCCGATGTGGGAGCCTCGGCGTCTCGGCACCGACTAAACGGCCATCCGGGTCCCAGGCCCCGGCGGCGCAGGAGAGGCCACGCCCCCACGCTGCGTAAGGGCGGGGCTAGGGGCTGGGAGGGGGCGGGGAAAGGTCAATAGGAAGGGGGCGGGGCTTCCCAGGGCCATGGCGTTGGCACGGGGCTGAAAATTTTGCCTAATTTATGCAGAAGCGGTGGGGATTCTTGCAGGATGGAATAGTGGCCTTTAGGGGGTTGTTTGTGATTTGCATAATTTATGCAAAAGGGCGGAGCTTTTGGATTGGGGCTGACGTTTCGGACGCTTTCTCTTTTGCATAATTTATGCAAAAGAGCAGAGGTTTGTGGTCCAGCAGAAGTCTTGTGAGTTTGTCTCTCATTTGCATAATACCTGCGAAGGGACGGAGGTTCCTGGTTATCAAATTAAGCTCTTTTATATTTGCATAATTTATGCACTAGGAGAGTGGCTACTAGGGAGCTCTTTGCTCATTAGCATAATGTATGCAAAATATAAGAGGCTTCTGGGCTAATACCTGGAGATCCTTCTAATTTGCATAAATCCTGGATTGTGATGCAATGCCATTGAGGTAATTTAATGTCCTAATCTGCATAAGGGGCGTGGCTTCTGGCATAATAAAATCAGTTGATTTGAACAATTTATTGGAAAGGAGGAGGGGACCAGCTGGAATGCAGTGTGCGTGTGGGCGGGCCTGTAATTAACATGGGTTTTGAAAAATCAAAGGGGGCCATTAACAGTTTTTTCTATCTGCATAATTTATGTAACAATGGAGGCGGCGTCCTAAGGCAAATTATGTAAATGAAATAATATTTGTTTGCATAATTTATGCAAATATGCACATTTTAGAGATGGACTGTATCATTTGCATAATTTATTCCCAAGAGGAGGGTCTCCTGGAAAAGGAGGAGGTTTATTAGGGCATACTCCATTGAACAGGGTGGGGGGGTAGAGAATCCAGGGAGGGGAAGGCTGAGGGGGGGTTTATGTATTGTAGACTAATCCTGACCAGGCCATAGACACCTCCCCTGCAATCATGAAATGTCCCACTGGGAGACCCCCCCCTGCACCCACATAGTACAATGGGATATTCCAACCCCCCCTCCAATAATGATAAAGGACCATTCCACCATGACACTCCCCTTTGTTATTATAATGGGATGTTCCAATCCCACCTGCTATAATGGACCATTCTACCTGGAGAGGCACCTCCCCATTACAATGAGAAGTTCCAACCACATTCACTTACAAATATAATGGACCATTCCACTGGGAAACTCCCCCTCCATATAATAATGGGATGTTCCAAGTCCACCTGCTATAATAGACAGTTCCTCGCAGTGGCACCCTCCCGGGATTGCTGTAATGGGCCATTCCACCAGGAGACACCGCCTCCCCATTAAATGGACTGTGCCACTGTGCCTCATCTGGGTCATGCCATCAGGAACTAGCCCACCTCCCCGGAGATAATAGGCCCTTCCACAAAGAGACACCCCTCTACCCTCCAAAATGGAATGTTCTACCTATAATGGCCCATTCTAACACCCCCATCCCCGCTATAATGGAACATTCCAATGCCCCCTATAATTCACGACACCCCCATCCTATCATGGAATGTTCTATACCCCCGTTATAATTGAGAATTGGAACGTGGACCTGACCCTGGAATGGTCGAGTTGGTGATTCGTAGGCGGGAGAACAGCACAATACAGACCATGGGTTTCAAGGCAGCAGGCGTTAGCAAACTCAGGGAGTTGGCAGGTCAGATCCCACGGGAAGCAAGTCTAAGGGGAAAACAACTGAAGACAGTCGGCAGTTTTTCAAAGAGACGTTACTGAGGGCACAAGAGCAAACTACCCCACCGCGTAGGAAAGACGGAAGTCTGGCAAGAGACCAGCCTGGCGTAACCAGGAGATCTTCAGTGATCTAAAACTCAAAAAAGAGTCCTTCAAAAAGTGCAAAATAGGTCAAATTACAAAGGAGGAATATACACAAATAACACAAATATGTAGGGACAAAATTAGAAAGGCCAAGGCACAAAACCAGAACAAACTAGCTAGAGACATCAAGGGTAACAAGAAAACATTCTACAAATACATTAGAAGCAAGAGGAAGACCAAGGACAGAGTAGGCCCGTTACTCAGTGAGGGGGGAAAGACAATAACAGAAAATGTGGAAATGGAAGAGGTGCTTAATGTCTTCTTTGTTTCGGTTTTCACCAAGAAGGCTGGTGATGATTGGACGTCTAACATAGTGAATGCCAGTGAAAATGAGGTAGGATCAGAGGCTAAAATAGGGAAAGAACAAGTCAAAAATTACTTAGACAAGTTAGATGTCTTCAAATCACCAGGGCCTGATGAAATGATCCTAGAATACTCAAGGAGTGACTGAGGAGATATCGGAGCTATTAGCGATTATCTTTGAAAAGTCCTGGAAGGTGGGAAAGATTCCAGAAGACTGGAAAAGGGCAAATCTAGTGCCCAGCTATAAAAAGGGAAATAAAGACAAACCGGGGAATTACAGACCAGTCAGCTTAACTTCTGTACCTGGAAAGATAATGGAGCAAATAATTAAGCAATCAATTTGCATACATCTAGAAGATAAGGAGGTGATAAGTAACGGTCAGCGTGGGTTTGTCAAGAACAAAGCATGTCAGACCAGCCTGAAAGCTTTCTGTGACAGGGTCACAACAAGCCTCGTGCGTAGGGGGAAGTGGGAGACGTGGTAGATCTGGACTTTAGTGAGGCTTTTGATACTGTCTCGAGTGACCTTCTCCTAAACAAACTAGGGAAATACAACCTCGATGGAGCTATTATAAGGTGGGTTTGGAACTGGTTGGAAAACCGTTCCCAGAGAGTAGTGATCAGTGGGTCACAGTGACGCTGGAAGGACATAACGAGTGGGGTCCCACAGGGATTGGTTCTGGGTCCGGTTCTGTTCAATATCTTCATCAATGATTTAGATAATGGCAGAGAGAGTCCACTGATAAAGTGTGTGGACGATACCGAGCTGGGAGGGGTTGCGAGTGCTTTGGAGGACAGGATTAAAATTCAAAATGATCCGGACAAAACTGGAGAAATGGTCTGTAATCAATAGGATGAAATTCAATAAGAACAAATGGGCAATAGCTGCCTAGGAAGGAGTACTGTGGAAAGGGATCTGGGGTCATAGTGGACCAAGAGCTAAATATGTGTCAACAGTGTAACACTGTTGTAAAAAAAGCGAACATCATTCTCGGCTGTATTAGCAGGAGTGTTGTAAGCAAGACACGAGAAGTCATTCTCCCGCTCTGCTCCACGCTGATTAGGCCTCAACTGGAGTATTGTGTCCAGTTCTGGGTGCCACGTTTCAAGAAAGATGTGGACAAATTGGAGAAAGTCCAGGGAAGAGCAACAAAAATGATGAAAGGTCTAGAAAACATGAGCTGTGAGGGAAGATTGAAAGAACTGGGTTTGTTTAGTCTGGAGAAGAGAAGACTGAGAGGGGACATGAGAACAGTTTTCAAGTACATAAAAGGTTGTTACAAGGAGAAGGGAGGTAAATTGTTCTCATTAACCTCTGAGGACAGGACAAGAAGCAATGGGCTTAAATTGCAGCAAGGGAGGTTTAGGTTGGACATTAGGAAAAAGTTCCTAACTGTCAGGGTGGTTAAACACTGGAATAAGTTGCCGGGGGAGGTTGTGGAATCTCCGTCATTGGGGATTTTTAAGAGCAGGTTGGACAAACACCTGTCAGGGATGGTCTAGATCAGGGGTGGGCAAACTTTTTGTCCCAAGGGCCACATCTGGGTGGGGAAATCGTATGCAGGGCCATGAATGTAGGGCAGGGGCAGGGGTTGGGGTGTGGGCGGGGTGCAGGAGGGGGCTCAGGGCAGGGGAGCGGGGTGCAGTAGGGCCTGCGGCAGGGTGTTTGGTGCAGGAGGGGTTCGGGGTGCAGGCTCCGGCCCGGCACTGCTTACCTGGAGCGGCTCCGGGGTGGCAGGGCGTGCAGGGGGCTAAGGCAGGCTCCCTGCCTGCCCTGGCCCTGCGCCGCTCCCGGAGGTGGACAGCATGTCCGGCAGTGGCCCCTGGGGGTGGTGTGAGGCCCTCGCCTGCAGGTACCACCCCTGAAGCTCCCATTGGCCGCAGGTCCCCATTCCCAGCCAATGGGAGCTGCGGGGGCGGTGCCTGCAGGCGAGGGCGGCACACAGAGCCCTCTGTCCCCTCCCCCCAGGGCCGCAGGGATGTGGTGCCGGTTCACCCTCCCCTGGTCTAGATAATACTGAGTCCTGCCCTGAGTGCAGGGGACCGGACCAGACACCTCTCGAGAGCCCTTCCCATTCTATGTTGCTATAATGGACCTTTCCATCAGGGGATACCTCCCACCCTTCTATAATGGTACATTCCATCCCAACCCACCCCTCCTCCCCGGCTAGAATGGGCCATTCCCCTGGAAGGCACCCCCACTTCCCCTCTATAATGGGATATTCCCACCTCTGCTGCTAATGGATCATTCCACCCGGGCGGAAAAGCCCAACTCACCCACTTCCTGGCCAATCAGAGACTTCTATCCCCGTTGCGCCTGCCTGGAGGCTCCTGATTGGCTGGGGATGACATCATGCTCCCCCCATGATCAGTGACCCCCTCATAGAAACCACCAGGCAACAGCAGGGTCATTAAGAGGCCTTTATTGACAGTGCCGCACGTATGGGTCACCCCCTGTGACCCCTGACCTTTCACCCCTCACACCGACCCCATGAGTACCAAGGGGCTCTCGACCTTTAACCTCCCCCGCCTTGGCTGGCCCAGAAACCTTTGTGGGGTTGGCGTGAGTCTGGCATGGGGGGAGGGGCAATCCCAGAATCCTTTGCAGGCTTAGCATATGTCATGGGGGGGAGGGGGGTCTGTGTGTGACAAGGTCTATCAATCCCAGAATCCTTTGCAGGGTTGGCGGGAGTCATAGGGGAGGTGTGATAAGGTCTGACAATCCCAGAATCCTTTGCAGGGTTGGCGGGAGTTAGGAGCTAGGGCCAAAGAGGGCGCGGGGGGGGGTGGGAGAGAGGTCACGATCCTCAGCCCAGGGGACATGTCGAGGTGAACTGAGGGGGGGCTCAGCTCTGGCCCCCAGGGCCCCCCTGCAAAACCAGCCTCCCCCAGGACCTGCCCCCCAGGCTCCCCCGATGTGCTGCCCCCTAGTGGGTCCGGCAAAACTGCACTCCCCAGCCCTCCCAACCCTGCCACCCCAGCCTGCGGGCTGCCCCCCAGCCCCCCCAACCCTGCCACCCCAGCCTGGGTGCTGCCCCCCTGCTCCCCCACGGACGTTGTTAGTGGCTTGGTTTCCAGCAGTGACATGAACCAGGGGAACCCCAGAGCAGAGGTGCAGAAGCTCCCTGCCCGGGGCCCCCAACAGCCCCCCGGAGGGGGGGCGCCGGGGGCAGCTAGGGGAGGTCAGTGATGGCCCTCTTGGCGGGGGGGCCGGCCGGCTTCTCCTCCTTCTCCTTGGCTTTGTCTTCATACATCAGGATCCTGCGGGGGGAACGGAGACGGGGTGAACGACAGGGGGGACGGAGGCTGCGGGTCGGGAGTGAGGGGCGCTGGCTGGGCGGGGGGAACAGGGGGGACGGGGGCTGCAGGTCGGGAGTGAGGGGCGCTGGCCGGGCTGGGCGAACAGGGGGGACGGGGGCTGCAGGTCGGGAGTGAGGGGCACCGGCTGGGCAGGGCGAACAGGGGGCCGGGGGCTGCGGGTCGGGAGTGAGGGGTGCCGGCCGGGCGGGGGATACAGGGACTGCGGATCGGGAGTGAGGGGCACCGGCCGGGCGGGGGATACAGGGGCTGCAGATCGGGAGTGAGGGGCACCGGCCGGGCAGGGGGAAAAGGGGGGACGGGGGCTGTGGGTCGGGAGTGAGGGGCGCTCACAGTTTGAAGATGGCCGAGCGCTTGCCCAGCATCATGCGGACGAAGTCCCGGTAGCTGATGGTCTCGCCCTGGCCGCCCGTCACCTCCGTGATCATTTTCTTCAGCTCCAGGTGGGTCTTGGCCGCCCCCAGCTTCTCCAGCATCCGCTTCAGAGCCATGATGTCTGGGGGGGAGCAGAGATCAGGGGGCCAGCGGGGACACGCCCACGCTCGCACACACACGCGCGCACACCCACACACGCTCACTCGCACGCATACACACTCGTGCACACACACAGTCGCACACACACATGCTCGTTCGCACACACACCCATTCTTGCACGTGCATACACACACACGCACACACTCCCACACGTTCGCACAAACACACTCGCACACACACTCGCACACACACATCCGCACATGCTCACGCTCGCACACGCTCACAGACACATGCTCGTACACACACACGGTCGCACACACACAAACATGCACACACACATTCACACACACGCTCGCACACGGGAACTCACCGATGTCCCCCTCTCCGTTGAGGTCGAACTCCATGTATTTCTCTGCAGGAGGGACGGACGGACAAGAGGATTAGACAGAGGCACTCGGGGCTCCTGCTCCCCCTCACTCTCAGGGGCGTTGCCCCATCACCAGCCCCCTGGCACCTGCTGCCCCCCACCCCCAGGGGGCCTGGGACCCCTGGTTTCCCCCTCAGCCCTCAGGGGACTTGGCCCCACCCAAATGAGCCCCCTCGGGCGTCACTCACTCTTGAAGGCCTCCAGCTTCTCCGGCAGGTCTTCGTCTGTGCTGTATTTGGGGTCATCCAGGAATTCCTGGGGTCAGAGAGACGGGGCTGGGTTGGGGGCGGAGCTGGGTAGGGAAAGAGGGCTGTGTTGGGGGGTGGAGCTGGGGGCAGAGAGCGGGGGCTTGGTTGGGGGCGGAGCTGGGGGGGCAGCCCCATGGTGGTGGGCAGTGGCGTGGGGGGGTCAGAGGACCTCAGTGGGTGATATCAGTGCCCTGCTCATGACATCACCATTATCTGCGGGTGACCTCACAACCCTGACATCACAGCAGTCTGAGTATGACATAACAGGAATCCGTGTGTGACATCAGAGCCTGCTGACATCACCCCGGCTTATGACATCACACCCCTGTCACCTCATAATGACTGGCATGTGAGGTCACAAGAATCCCGGGTGGGTGACCTCACAGCTGTATGACATCACAGCCCCCTGGGTATGACATCACAGGGTGCCGAGCGTGACATCATCACACACCGGAGTGATGCTGCCTGGCTCAGGACATGACATCACACGTCACAGTGACATCACAGCCCGCGGTGAGTGACACCGGAGCCTCGTAACATCCCCCCCCCGACATCACGAGCTGGCTGTGACACCATGACAACGGGTAGCTCCGCCCTGGGCACAGCAAACTGGGGGTGATCCAGGGTCTGACACACCTGGGCTGGACGTGGGGGGGGGGCTGTGGGGCCCATTCCCCTCCCCCATCCCTGGGGCCCCCACAGACCCCCGGGGGGGGCCGTCTACCTTATTGAGAGAGTCCAGACCCTCCTCCTGCTGGGCCTTCAGCGCCCCGAAGGCCTTGCCCCCTGGCGGGGGGAACAAAGGGTTAATGGTGCCCCTCACT